AATGCCTCGATGCATCGCTCAATAACTGCTCGCCATACGCCATATGTCAGGACTACGACGTGGGGTATGGATGCCAATGCCTACCCAACTACATCGACATTTCTGAGCCTGGAGAGCGGGGAAGGAAGTGTCGTCAACGTAAGTAACAAGTCGCCCTTAATTTAGAGCTTTGACAATCGCATTCTTTACCAGTAACATGTGCATTACTCGGACATCTCTTCAGAGGGAAGTGATAGTGTTTGTCGTCAGCGTTGGAGATTGACAGAGCTTCAGCTGCAGAGTAACAAATACTTATGATGTATGACAGTTAGAAATGGAACCACACATCGATATTGGCGATCGTTCGCTGCTGCGGAAAAGGTCATATTCCTCTTTGCATGCAGGTCAGCGAGATGGTTCCTTGTTCGAATTGGACTTTCACGCGTCTACTCTCAGTGAATGGTTCAGCGGAAATTAACGTAGCGTGGATGCGGAAATAATTCTGTCATGCCTCAGCGGAAGTTTGTTCATGTACTGGCTTTTAATACTTCTCATGGTAACGTATGCGTATCATGTATCACATCTGACTTCAACGATAAATGAAATCTGCCCGCGGTCCATTGTGATTATTTCGTTAGTCGACCATTTTCAGGTTTATTGTTTCTTTTCTTACCTGTCGAAGCTGCTACAAAAAATAACATTATTTAAATTGTCTTAATTTTAAAAAATAGTCTCTAGCGCTCATGACAATTTCAGCATTGAAGCTGAAACGTCAGTATAAATAGAACGATTGTCCTTTATCTGATTTGTTCTCTTTGCGGAGAACCGCACACTCTAGCTGGCGCTCATCCACCTTCAGTTTCCACGCGGAATATTAGGTGAGTGGTCCACTCGGAGTGCCATCCTCTTGAACTCCTGTCGATATATCCACAATCACAGATTCAAATAAGATTAACATTATGTGAAGTTTCGGTCATGAACAGATGTGATTTACGAATGGCCGGAAACCATCTTGTCAGCCATCGTATAAACAGTAGTTTAAATATATGGTTTATTGTGTGTGCTGTATTAATTGACTTGAATATCTTCTATGGTACATTGATTATATTTAGTTGTGAACGAATGTCAGAACCCATCTCTGAATAACTGCAGCAGGTTTGCCGACTGTACGGACCTGGAAGTCGGCTACGAATGTCACTGCCGCGAGGGATATCACGATCAGTCACCATCGATGCCGGGACGAAAGTGTTCGTTAAGTACGTAAAGTAAATTCCGTTTACTGATGGATATTTGAAAGCGATAATTTGCATAGGCATAAATGAATGCGAGAGTACGAATCTGAACGACTGCGACCGCAATGCCATCTGCACCGACCTGGCTGCCGGATACGATTGCAAATGCCCCTCGCCGTACCGAGATGAATCACCGGATCCTGAAAGACCTGGAAGAATCTGCCGACGTAAGTCTTACAAAACTACCCTGCATCAGTTTCAAGTTTATGGTTATTGCTTACATACCTGACTACAATATGATGACTACGGTTTCCT